TTTCAAAATTTCAAAGGCACAAAGGACTGGATATGGTGGCTCAAACCTTAAACACAGCACTTGGGAGGCAGAGGCAGGTAGAGCTCTATGATTGGTCTACATAGTCAGTTCCCAGGCCAGCCAAGACTATATAGAGACCCTGTGTCAAAAAAAAGCAAAGTTAGCCGGGCGGTGGTGGCGCACGCCTTTAATCCCAGCACTCGGGAGGCAGAGCCAGGCGGATCTCTGTGAGTTCGAGGCCAGCCTGGACTACCAAGTGAGTTCCAGGAAAGGCGCAAAGCTACACAGAGAAACCCTGTCTCGAAAAACCAAAAAAAAAAAAAAAAAAAAAAAAAAAAAAAAAAAAAAAAAGCAAAGTGACAAAGGAAAAGAAAGACAGGAAGAAACTGTCCTACCCGAACACTACCCCAACACTGTTCCTTAATTCCCTTCCAGGAGACAACCAATTAAAAAAACCAAAACCATGTTTACTGCTCTCAAGAAAATCATAAGCAAGGCTGGCTGGCTGGCTCAGAGGGTAATGAGGACCCCACAACAGCACACATCTGTAACCCCAGCACTAGGGGTGCAGAGATAGATCCCAGGGGCTTGCTGGACAGCCCAGTCTACCCCAAATGGGGAGCACTAGGTTCAGTCAGAGACCTTGTCTCAAGAACTAAGGTGGAGAGGAAGATGGCGGTGTCGATCTCTGGCCCCTACATGCACACACAGGCCAGTATGCTGCACACACCGTGCACGCACACACACACCCCATCCTCATTGGAACCCATACAGAAGTACAAACTAAAAAGCCCACCAGGGGCTGGAGATCTCAGGCTAGCATTTGCTTGATCCCTAGCATCTCAGAGAATGGGTGAACAAGAGAGAGGAAAAAAAGTTCAACCTCAGCTCCCATCCAGAGCCACTCAGCATTTAAATACATCTTCTTCCGCTGCTGCAGGAAAACAGACTTCTGACAACTAAACCAGACGGGAGGACCCCAACGGTGATTTTCCCAGTCTCACTAGTGTCGTGGTCCCATTTCCTCTGGCACCTTCCTTAAGTGATTTAATAATTTTGTCATCTTCCATAGATTGGTGACTCGTTTAACCAGTGTCAGGCATCTGGGGATTTCCAGATTGGCTTTACTAAAAGAAACACAGTGATGGATCCAGAGACTTCAATGTAATACATTTCTAAGAAATATACTAGGTTACAAAATATGGACTTTAAAAAACCCAGGGCATCTATCTCACTGCTCTCCAGTCAGCTGACTTTCCCCATCAGTGGAGTGAGGCCTCCACAGCCAGTGCTGACTTCCTCATAGGGCCAAGTAGCCCTGGTTTGTTCCCATCTCTCCAACAGCTCATATCAGCTGTGTGTCCTTAACCCCACCTCTGAATCTAGACTAAGGCAAAGGCCTCGTGTGCCTGGTGACTGCTCTGTTTACCTAGTCATACAGCCTAACCTGGGCCCATCCCAGTTTATTGTGAGTCAGCTGAACAAGGGGCGGGCACCACCCTTCCCAGAGCAGGACTCCAACTGGCACACAGGCCACCAGCACATCCCAAGAGACTCTGCAGTGGCCGGAGACGGAGACAGAGCATCTGGCCAGCAGGTAAGAACAGAGTCTGTATTGGCTGGGACAGATTCTAAACAAGACCTGCTCACAACCATTTCTTTGCCTCTGTTGTCCTGTCTTCAAGGACTTCCTGGGCAGTCCTTTTAAAAACTTGCTTCTCTCTTGGGATGAAATGGGAACAAAGCTTCCCTTTTCTGACCCCAGGCCCTGGCAGGGTTTGAAGGATGAATGCTTTTCTTCACTGTTCTATGCCTCTCCCCTTACTCCAATCTGTCCCACAGCCGTTAGCCAGGAGGTCCCAAAGGTGGCTCTCTCTCAAGAAAGGCTCAAATCCTCACCGAGACCTTCAAGCCCTCCAGGACCTGAACTTCTCCCCACTTCTCTGGTTTCTTCCCTTAGAGTCCTTTGAACAGCTAACTTCAGTCTTGGGGGGTCAGGTGTCCCTAAACAGAGGGCACTCTCACCTCAGGGTCTGTGCAGTGGCACTGGCTCCCTGGAGTGTTCTTGCCCAGCCAGTCAGCCCTTTAAGCTTTTGGTCAGATGTCTCTCACCCCCACAGCAAGCCTCCCCTGCTTGTACTGCCACTCTGTTCTCTCTCCATCCTACTTCGTATTCCTCCCCAGTTCTTCCCACCACCCGACACAGCCTACAAGGTTTAATCCAGCTCTTCAATAAAGCCCCTACCTCAAAGAGTGATGATTTTGCTCTTTCTGGAGCTGAGGACTGAACCCAGGGCCTTGTGCTTGCGCTCTACCACTGAGCTAAATCCCCAACCCCTGCTCACTTCTTACTGCTGGCATCCCAAAGAGTACCTGGACTTATGAGGTGCTAATAAATGCATGTGGGATGAGCAGAAAGCTATTATGGAGTTGCCTATTTGTGCTAGGTACTGTGCTAAATGTCCTCTATGTGCATTTCTTTTAAATAATCATCTAATGCCTGGATAACTGTGGTGAAGTGTTATTACTGCTATTACAAAAGAAATGACGTAGGCCCTTGCCCGGTCTTTGCTCTCACAGCCAGAGCAGGTAGTAGATTGAGCCTCTCTCTAAAGTCCAAGCTTCTGCTCTGCCTCCCCTAGCCCTTCACTGGGGGAACAGCAGTTTCTGAGTCCAGTTCCCTCTGGCACAGTACAGCCCTGAAAGAAGAGGGCACATGCTTGCGGCTTAGCAACAGCCTCCTCCTTGCCGATTCACCAGATCCCTGGGCTAATTTGGCCTTACAGGAGCTATTACTCCACTGCATTAACCCACGCTTCTGTTTTCTGAAGGATGGATGAGTTGTCCACAGGAACAAGTGGGAGTCCCTGAGCTCCAGCAGTTTGGAACAAAATGTTCTCATTCTTTAAGTTCAAAGATGGGGGCCGATGGGCTGATTCCACAGGGCCTGCTGATAGGCTGTGGGCGATATTATTGCTTACAATATGAAGAGGTGTAGAAAGCTCTGGGATGGAAATCTGAAAGGTGTGGGGAAGGGAAGTCCCTCCAGGAGCAAGGACTGGATGGGTTCCCTTCAAAGACGAAGACAGCAACTTGTAGGCGCTGAACAAACCCTTCCATTGTCACACTGCTGTGTGTGTACCTCATGGGGGCTGCAGTTTCCCTTTCTACACCCAGTTAGTCTCCCAAGGACTGTCTACAGGTGGTAATTGGAAGAATGTTTATCTAGGTGTCAGGTGACATTTCTGGGGAGACGTGAACAAACATTTGTTCACCTTAGAACCAATGACAGAGCAACTAAAAGATGCCATGTCTCCGTGGTAAACCAAGGCGTTTAGTGGGGTTGGAGAAGCCTAGGACTCAAAGGCAGCTGCATCACAGAAGAGCCCACCCCAGCAAGGGCGATGGCTGCAGATTCCTCCCTGAGAGTCTTCTCTCCTCTGGCAATTGTTCGGTGCTTATAGAACCATGGGGGGTGAAGGGCTTTGTGAATCCTAACTCTCTGAGCTTCTTGGAGTCTTGATGCTTCCTTAGGTTCCCGAGTCCTCCCACTCCCTTCCAGGAGGGAATGTTGTTTCAATTGAGAGGAAATGGCTACCCACTAGGTTTCAGAATTCTCTTCCCTGTCTGCTTTTCTCCTGTAACTTTATGAGGGCTTGGCCCTGGGAATTCACACTGGCTAGTGAGGATACGGGCAAACAAACACAGCATGGTGGAATTTCAATCCAGGAAATTCGAAAGGCCTAGCTCAGTGCTTCCTAAACATTTGGGGAATGAATAATGACTAGGGAATTCATGAGATGCTGTGGTCTAGGCAGAAGAATAACGATCCTTGGGGGTTGTGTGGGTGTAGGATTTAGAGGCAGGCTTAGAACTGAACAATTCACCACATGAACTGTGGATGGCATTCAAGACAGAGGGAACAGCAGTGCCAAAGCATGGAGGCATGGGTTAGCAGGCTGAGTTTCAGAACCAGCAAATCGTTTGAAATGATCTATTGAAGGTAAGAAATATCCAAACAGCAGGTGGAACTCAGGCCTGGGCCTCCCTATCCAGGAATAGCACACTCTACTTTCACTGGCTTAAACTTTCCATCCTTCATGGTCATAGGCAGGTCTTCTCCCTCTCGGAGGCTTCCCTGCTTTTCCAGCTATTTTTTTTTTTTTTTTTTTTTTTTTTTTTTTTTTGGTTTTTTCGAGACAGGGTTTCTCTGTGTAGCTTTGCGCCTTTCCTGGAACTCACTTGGTAGTCCAGCCTGGCCTCGAACTCACAGAGATCCGCCTGGCTCTGCCTCCCGAGTGCTGGGATTAAAGGCGTGCGCCACCACCGCCCGGCCTTTTCCAGCTATTTTTCCTGCACCCCATGGAGTCCATTGCCTAGGTCCCTTACAAAGGGCGATCAGTCTGATTTTCCGTGGAAAGTGATCCCTCAGCCAAGTCCACTTCCCTGGACAGCAGATGTCCAATGGTTCCATCACTGATGGTTGGGGCCTGTGGGTGGGTGGTGGGGGTGCATTTTTAAGCAGGGCAGGTCGAGTCAGGGCCATGCCAGAATCCCGAGAGCGTGGGAGAGAGGGCGACATCAGAAGCAACACCTAGGGATTTGAAGGCGCTTCTAAATTAAAGGGAGAGGAAATCTCCTTTTCAGAACGAGCAGCGGGTCGCGTGTGAACTCTGCTCTCCCATCTATCGCCGCCTTAGTGGCGAGTAAGTCAAACCGGGTGACGAGCTACGACCCCAACAAGGGGCTCTCGCGAGAACCACCGGCTGAGTCTCTTTGGGTACACATGAGGAGGGCTGAGAGCCCGGGTAGTCTTCCCCACCCGTACTCCTTTGCTGCATTGCTGGACTCTGGATACGGGCGCCTGAAGGAAACCCGAAGCAGGGTGCACTCTAATAGCACACACCGTCCGCGACAACAGGATACCCGGCTAGCTCCGCAGCCGCGGGGCATCCTGGGAGCCTACAGCGAGCAGGCTGGGTGCGCGTGCGCTGTAGGCGCCGCACGTGGGCAAGCCGGATCTCTGTGCAGGAGTTGTACCCGACAGGGGAGATGCAGCTTCCGGCCGGGCTCCGAGCCTTAGAATAGCAGAGTGTAGGCGGCTTGTGGGGGCGGGTCGGGTCGGGTCGTGGACCCGTGTGACGTAGGGGCGTACAGAGGATGTCCCCTGGATAGTTGGGACTCTCCCGGGTACTCAGTGCGTGAAGTGTGCGGAGTCTGTGCCTACTTGCTCCCGTTTCTAAAGAGAAGGGACGGGTTACAGGTTCGCCTTGAGTTACTGCCCAGGCAAGGACGCCTTGTAGTGAGGGGAAGAACAGCAGCCTGCAATAGAAGACTGTGCACCGCCCCTTGTAAGGACAGAGGCGAAAGGGTTTTAGTCTGGAAGCAGTTTCCAGGAAGTGGGTCTCTGGGCCTGTTTTCTCTCAGAGGGCAGCTGCAGAACGCATCTCTTCTATTGCTGTACTGTTAGAAAAAGGTAGACAAGGGTGGTCTCTTACGTTTGTATATGCGCAGTGCATACTCCTGGTGGCAAAGCATAATTTGGTATATGGTAACTGCTGAGCATTATTTCAGGGCTAAAAGCCACCTGGAGGGTGCACTGTAGGGCAGGTCCCAGGTGAAGGGGTCTCCTCCCTTAGCTGATCTAAAAGGCTAGAATCATACTCGCCCCTCCTCTTGGGAATTCTCGTCTTAGGATAGTCATTTTTGCCCCGAAGACTACCCTAGGACCGAGAACTGCAGCCGTGTCCTCCAGCAGCCAGCCAGGCAGCACAAAATCAGCAAAGGGCTGGCTGGGTACTTGAGCCGCAGGGAAGCTGGTACAGCCCATCTACGAAAGAGTCCTGGCTATGTGACTTAACCTTGTCAATTTTTATATTTTTCAGTACAAATTAGCAATGAACTTCCTATTTTCAGATTTTGTAATGCTAGCACAGGTTCATGTCAGAGAAGCAGGACTGCAAGCAGATGGGTGAGTTGGGCGGGGGGGCAGGTGTTGGTTGGTTGGGTTTGGAAAGAAGCCTACACAAAAATACCCTTCAGGGATGAACTTTGTTGGGAGAAAGATCCTTGAGACCATAGGAGCCATGATCAGGCCTTGATGAGGGAGAGCATTAAGAAGGAATGATGTTTTCTATCAGAGACAATGTGATTAAGGACAGGAGAGGCTTCCCCTCAAAATCTGGAGAGGAGGAGCTGCGTTAAGAGAGAGAGAGAGAGCTTAGAGTGACCGCTGTCATAGACAGAACGGGGGAGGTAACATGGGAAAGTATTTGAGTTTTATATCCTTTTGGGGAATGGCAGAAAGGGCCACACCACATGATTTAGTCTAGGAGAGACATGTGACAAACAGCATGGAGGAGCCAGGTTCGGGATCTGGTCTCCTAGAGTGATCATCTTAAAGGGGTAGGCCCATGATTGACAATTCATATTTAAGGAACTACACAGGATTAAGATACACAAGGTGGGGACTGGGGAGATGGCTCGGTAGTCAAGAGCACTGGCTGTTTCTTCCAGAGGACCCGTATTCAATTCCCAGCACTGACATGGCGACTCACAACTGTCTGTAACTCCAGTTCCAGGGTACCTGACACCCTCATACAGACAGACATGCTGGCAAAACACCAATGCACATTAAAAACAAAAAACAAATCGACTCACAAGGTGCATTTAGACCTCTGGTTCTTGGTTCCATTTCTAAGAAGGGCATAATATTGAAATACCAGAACTCTGCTTTACAAGGGGAAGGATGGAAGGACCAAATATATTGCCTCTGGCATATTATTGCATTATCCTCTGTGCACAGGGTTTGAGAGGTTCTGCAGCCAATGAGAAGGCCCTCCTGGGACTCCCAGTCTAATAAGACAGCAGGACAAGGAGAGTCAACTACAAGACTAGTTAATAAACAGGAGTAAGGACATGGGGGAGCACTGTGACGTGCACCCATCCAAAGCAGGCTTCCTATGAGAAAGATCTTATGGTTTTAGACTTCAGGATTATTAGGAATGAGCTGGGCAAGGACCAGGGGTTGTAATCCAGACAGTATGCCAGACAGGGGGACTACCATTCTAAGGCTGAGAGACAAGAGAGAGACATCCATTCCAGTATTTCCTTGTTGCAGCAGTTGAAAGTAGGGGTGGGGGAAAGGCACATGGAAAGATGAGGAACTGGGGAGTAAGGTCAAAATGGTAAGCAATTTGTTGGAACTCAATGCCAATGACTAGAGTGGCCTGGGTGTGGAGACAGTGGAGAGTGGTAGGGCCGTGCACACTGGAGTCTGTGGGTGTTCAGTTGACACTTCGGGTGCCAAAGCTTCCCCCTTTTCCGGGATCAGTCAGAATCTGTTTAGTGTAGCATCTGCAAACAAATTGTTAAGTATTCTGCAAGGTCAAATACAATTTCTTTACATCTGGCCCTTGGGCCACCAGTTCATTCCAGGGAAGATTCAAGAAGCCCGTGGGGGCCATTTTAGGAAATACAGGCTAGGTTCCAGGGGGGCTACTGGTGTGTGTGTGTGTGTGTGTGTGTGTGTGTGTGTGTGTGTGTGTGGTGTGTGTGTGCTGGCTAGTTCACGTCAACTTGACACAAGCTAGGGTCATCTGAGAGAGGGAACTTCTGCTGAGAAAATGCCTCCATAAGATCTGACTGAAGGCAAGCCTGTGGGGTATTTTCTTTCTTAATTAGTGGTTGGTTTCGGAGGGCTCAGCCCATTGTGGGTAGGGCCACTCCTGAGCTGGTGGTCCTGGGTGCTATAAGAAAGCAGGCTGAGCAAGCCACGAGGAGCAAGCCAGTAAGTAGCACTCCTCCATGGCCTCTGCATCAGCTCCTGCCTCCAGGTTCCCATTCAGTTTGAGTTCCTTCCTTGGCCTCCTTCAATGGACTGTGATTCAGAATATGTAAGTCAGAAAAACCCTCTCCTCCCCAAGTTGCTTTTGGTCACGGTGTTTCATGACAGCAATAATAAACCTAACTAAGGCAGAAATTCGTCCCTTAGGATATTGCTGTGATCTACCTCACCATGTTGTTTGGGGGAGGATTGTGGAAGGACTTTGGCACTTTGGGTTGGAGAAGCCATTGAGTGTTCAAAGCTTGGTGAGCTGTTGTGAGAACTTGGAAGATTAGAGGGTAGTGCCGAAAGCAGTGTAGATGACGGAGGCCTGGCTTGGGAAGTTTCAGAGAGAAGCAAAGGCCCAGTTGGGGCCGTTTGATACTTTGAATTAAGAATCTGTGGTTCTGGTCAGCTGGGGCTGAGGACTCAGCTGTGATTAGTAAGAGAGCAGCACCACTGAAGTAAAACCATCGCTTTACTGCGACAATAGATGCTGGCCAGCTGGGGCTGCTAAACGAATGGTGATTACAAAAGACCAGCACTAGCCAGGTGACGTCTGGGAAGTGTTTCCTGAGAGTCGGCACACAGCGCTGTGTTCTAGACTCAGCCAGCGTGGTGCCATGTGCTGGCAGCTGGGCGGCAGTGTAAGAGCCACCCAGGTGGTACTGGTTTTGAAGGTAGGAGGGGGTCATGGAGAGCAGCACCCCTCCACAGCCTCTGCATCAGCTCCTGCCTCCAAGGGGGAGGGCTTTAAGCAAAGCCACAACATCCTGGCCTCATGCATAAAAGGCCTGGTGGCTACCGTCTGGGGAGCAGAGAAAGAGGAGTCCATGGCCTATTTAGGGGATGCTGTGGCACTAATGAGGGACAGAACAGTGAAAGAGGTCTGTATGGCAGGGATATGGGTGAGAGGTGACTTGATAACACACGAGAAGGATGGTGGGGGTGGTAGTTAAGGACATGGGTTGGGGCAGCAAGTACAGAGGGAGAAGTGACTTATGAGAATGCCCTCAGTGCCTGTGGGTCATACAGGGTCATGGGGCTGGTTTCACACATCATGGCACAGCCTAATCAGTTCCCTATGTCACCTCTGACATTCCTGTTACATGTGGGCAAGAAGGACATACCTTGACCATTAATAGTGGCAGTGAGCTGGAAAGGCATGGGGTAACTGAAAAGTTCAAGGTGGGTGTATAGCTCAGAGCCTGTCCTGGTGACAGGGCCCAGTGTGACAGGGCAGTGACCTTTACCCTAGAAGGCGGGTCCAGCAAGGGGGAGGTGACAGGGAGGTAGGGTGGGGTATCTAGCTGGAGTGGCCTGCCTCGCAGAGGGCAGGAAGTATGACAGAGCCAGGAAGAACCCGGAAGGGCAGATTCCCCCTGGACGGTTCACCTAGGGAGGGAATGGTGTGTTTTTAAGAGGTTGATAGTCTGAGCTGCTTTGAACACCTCGCTTAGAGGTGCTGCAGATTTTCAGGCGGGATGATGAAGTGTGTGTATGTGCAGTACCCCTGCATCGTCTGTTCCTCCTCCCTGTGGAGCAGGGTTATACTAAGTGCCCCAAGTTTGTGTGTGTGTAGGAGAGAGGACTGTGGTGTCAGAGTGGAACCCAGGGCCTCCAGTGTGCCATGCAATGGCACCACCACTCGACTCTTCTCTATGGAGTAACGAAGGATCTAACTTGTTTTTGATGCTACAAGAGCCCACGGTTGAGAGACTTTGAATTTCTAAAGAGATTTTGGATTTTTAGGAGACCTTGGATTTTTAAAGAGACTGAACTTTTAAAGTGTTTGGATTTGTAAAGACTGATTGTAGTATTAATATTAATTAATGAGGACAACAAGAAAGGAGTTGGGGCTATCATGGTATGGACACTGGGGTCAGGCTCACTCTCTTGAAGGTGGGGGTGCAGAAGCCATCGGGGTCAACAGAGTGGGCATCCCAGGTGAAGTGCTGGCCTGGGCCTGAGAAAGAACACAGAGTGTTGCTTAATAAGTGATGTGTTTGTGTGTTAAGTTGTCAAGGGGTCAATTGTACTACCTAGTTTTTATGTCAACTTGACACAAGCCAGAGTAGAAGGAACCTCAATTGAGGAAATGCCTCCATAAGATCCAGTCATAGGCAGGCCCGTGGGGCATATTCTTAATTGATGTAGGTTCTGCCACCCCTCAGTTGGGTGGTTCTGGATTCTACAAGAAAGCAGGCTGAGCATGCCATGGGGAGCAAGCCAATAAGCAGCACTCCTCCATAGCTTCTGCCTCAGCTCCTGCCTCCAAGTTCCTGTCCTGTTTGAGTTCCTTTTGGTGATGAACAGTTATATGGAAGTGTGGACGAAGTATACCCATTTCCTCCCAGGTTGCTTTGGTCACGGTGTTTCATCACAGCAACAATAACCCTAAGCCAGCTGGTGCACTGCAGAGCTGAAATACTCAGGATGAAAAGAATTGGGAGGGTTTCTAGAGTCTCCTGCCTTTCTGTAAATGCTAAGTCCCAACCTGCTTGTAGTTGTGAGTGATGCTGTGCCAGCTCCCAGCCTTACCTGGTATGCAGCAGCTGCTCCATGTGCACCTGCTGAACCGGATGAGGAAACCTCATAGTTCATCTGACCTTTGACACATGGCTCTTGACCCTGTCTGTTCTAGTAGGTATATCCTGGATGGTCCACTAGGTTTGGTTTCTAAGATCCAGGGTCAGTCAGATGTGGAATTTTGTGGGTGGAGATTGAGCTTGAAACAGACAGACTGGTGTAAATCCTGGCTCTTCATCTCTGAAATGGGATAGTAACTCCTGTTGCTGATCATAGAGTGCTGTGGGGCACAGGTGGCAGGAGCAGCTGTTCTACCGTTTTTCAGAAAGATAGGTGTAGGAAGTTTCTATCCCGCTTGGTCCCGCAGCCGTTCAGTCCCAAATAAACACACAGAGGCTTGTATTGATTATAAACTGTTTGGCCTGTTGCCCAGGCATATAACTAACTAGCTCTTATGCTTAAATTAACCCATACTTCTTGTCTGTGTTTAGCCATGTGGCTTGGTACCTTTTCTTAGTGCAGCATTCTCATCTTGCTTATTTCCTCGGTGTCTGGCTGGAGACTCTGCCTCTCCCTTCCTCTTCCCACCTTCTCCTAGTCTGGTCGCCCCACCTACACTTTCTGCCTGGCTACTGGCCAACCAGCATCTTATTAAACCAATAGGAGTGACAAATCTTTACAGTGTACCTGAGCATTATCCCACAGCATTTCCCTTTTTTCTTTTCAAAATAACCCTAAATCTAATCTTCCTTTGTTTAGCTTTTTTCCTGACCATCATCCATAACAATTTGTAACCAACATTCTAAACAAAGACAAACATCCATAATCCATTTTTTGGGAATGCGAACATAGTTTTTTAGGCTACTTCCTGCTGATTGGGGGCACTGGTAATCTTATAGGGACCCAAAGAAAATTTAGGATTATGGTCAAGTCCTGCCTGGAGTAGTCTGTGAGGCTGGATCATCTCAGCCAGCACCCTTGAAGCCTTTCTGGATGCAGATAGGAGCAGCATCCTCATCCTTCCTGGATGCAGATAGGAGCAGCATCCTCATCCTTCCTCACCCTCTCTGCTTTGCAGGGTGCTTCAAGGAGCAGTTATGTCTGTCCTATACCCATCTCTGGAGGACCTGAAGGTGAGCCAAGTCATCCAGGTAAGGAACTAGTCTCCATCTGCCTAGAGTCCCTTATTGTGACCTTGGGAATTAACCTTAGTAACTAAGGCTTGTCTTGGGGGATGCTGGGTACTGGAAGCCCTTGGGAATTCCTTGGAAGCCCTGGGACACAGTGCAGAGGCTGATGCAGTGGCTCTCAGCTTGTGGGTGGCGACCCCTTTGGGGATTGAACGATCCAAGAGTCCCAGCTACAGCTGAGCAACATTTCACATTCTTTTTAGGCCCAAGCCAGAGCCTCACCCAGGATGCTCACTCCGTCAGCCCCGATGGCTTCTGCACCCCCACTTTCAGGTGAGTGAACCTGACCCCAGCATCATGACAGCTCCGTCACACAGCCCAGCATTGCTGGGTCTCTCACCATGGAAGGCAGGCCCGCCTCTCCTGGGTGTGCCGTGTACTGACTCTGAGAACGTGGCCCAGCATTCTGGCCACATCTCAATGCCCGTTTCTCACCTGTCACTTTGTGGGACTCACGTATAATTCACCTTCCCCCTTTGAGGAAACATTGGAGAAACTGACGTGTGAGGCAGAAAGTGCCTGATTTGGGGCCACCACAGGCAGACTGTCTGGGAAGACCAGATTTTGAGGTAGCCCTTAGAGAAGCCCATAGCAATCTTGAGCCAGTCCTGTGAGAGAAGCTTAAACTAGGGCCCATGGTTCCCCCTTCGGTGCTCTGCCATCTCCCCAAGTTGCCATCCACCATGGCCCGTGGTCTCTGGTAGTCCTGCACCTGCTCTGGCTTTGTGTCAGCTGTCAAAGCAGTTGAATTGAGTGCCTCAGGGGTATAGGAGAAACTCAGTGTCTGAGGCTACTCCTAGACAGAGGTGCTTCGAACCTTGGGCAGAGCTGGCCCGTGCCACTGGCAAGCATCCCCAGGACACACAGCATGGTCAGGGGATCAGGGTGTGGTTGAAGTTTCCCAGGTTCATGGAAAATGAGTGGCCCTGGGCCAGCCAAGGTGGCTCTGCGCAAGCCCCTGGGTGACCCTTGTCTCTTCTTTGCCATCAGAGTTGTACCCAAACTTGGCAGAACTGGAGAGTTATATGGGGCTGTCCCTCTCTAGCCAAGAAGTCCAGAAGAGCCTGCCTCAGATTCCAGATGGTGACAATGTAGGTATTTGTCCCCTGCCTCAGGTGGCCACTAAACATCCTATCTCTTGGTCTTGCCATTTAAAAAGGTGTGTGTGTGTGTGTGTGTGTGTGTGTGTGTGTGTGTGTATGGATATATTGTCAACCCAGTCATTCTTTATAACAGCAATTGGGACCCAAATGCACTCACCCTAAATTATGATGGTTGTCTTTTTTTTTCTTTGACATGGGGTCTCACTATGTAGCCTTGGCTGGCCTGGAACTGTCTGTGTAGACCAGGTGGCTTCAAACTCATAGAGATAGATGCCTGCCTCTGCCTTCCAAGTGCTGGAACTAAAGACATGCACCACCACTCCTGGATTTTTTGTTGTTGCTGTTGGTTTTCTCATAACAGGGTTTCTCTGTGTAGCTCTGACTGTCCTGGATAGTTCCTAGTGCTCTGTAGACCACGCTCTGTAGACACACTGCACCTGCCTCCTGAGTGCTATGATTAAAGGCATAAGCCACCACCACCCGGCTTCTTGAATGTTTTTGAAAAGGATTTATTTTATTTTTATGTATATTATTGTTTTGCCTGTATGTATGTGCACTACATGTGTGGTTGGTACCTGAAGAAACCAGAAGGGGGTGTCAGATGCCTAGCTAGAACTGGTGTTATAGAAGGTTGTAAACCTCCATGTAGGTACTGGGAATCAAACCTGGGTCCTCTGCAAGAGCAACAAGTGCTCTTAATTGCTGAGCCAGCTCCATACTCAACAATTTTTTTTTTTTTTTTTTTTTTTTTTTTTGGTTTTTCGAGACAGGGTTTCTCTGTGTAGCTTTGCGCCTTTCCAGGAACTCACTTGGTAGTCCAGGCTGGCCTCGAACTCACAGAGATCCGCCTGGCTCTGCCTCCCGAGTGCTGGGATTAAAGGCGTGCGCCACCACCGCCCGGCTAACAATTTTTTTAATTGTAATTACTTTCAATGTTCTCAACTTTTTTGTGTTTAAATAGTAGGCTCCCGGTAACTTGCAAAGACAGGAAGTCTATTTCACCAGTATTGCCTCCATAACCACAGAACAGTAGCAGGATGAATAATTTACACTAGTGGAGTGTCTGTAGCTCTGGGCAGGATCATCCCTCCCCAGGAAGCTCTCCACCCCTTCGTGGTCACACCTGCTCCCTCCTCCAGCCCTCCCCAACCCCTGTAACCTTCTCCTCTTTTTATTTCTTCCATTGCTCACCCTTCCTCCCCCCTTTCTTTTTATTTCTTTGGCAGTACTGGGGACCTCATGGGTGTTAGCTTGTTCCACAATGTGTCACACTCCCAGCCTTGGTTTCTGTCTGTAGAATTTTATTTCAGAATGTTGTATAAATGGAAACCAGAAAGTATGACTCTTTTAGGGTGTTCTATGCATGTGTTAGTTGTATGTCTGGTGTGTGTGTGTGTGTGTGTGTGTGTGTGTGTGTGTGTGTGTGTGTGTAGACTAGGGTTGATGTCTTGCTCTATCCCTCCCCACCTTATTTTTTGAGACAGGGTCTCTCACTGAACCTGAAGCTCCCTGGTTGAGCCAGGCTGGGTAATGAATGGCAGCTATCCTCCTGTCTCTGTCTCCCCAGCTCCCCAGCACCGGGGTGACAGATGCATGGTCACATACCCAGCTTTGTATGTGGGTTCTGAGAATCTGAATTCAGGATCTCATGTGTGCATAGCTGCCACTTCTTACCTGCCAAGAATAATTTTAGTTTCTTACTATTACACACAGAGCTGTTGTGTAAAGGCTTTTGTATGGATACAAATTTCCTTTTCGGCATAGCGGGCGGGAATTTGCAGTTGTTACACAATGTGATAAATCTGCATTTGTAGGCAGCTGTCAGGCTATTTTCTGGAGGGGTTGTGCATTCATCTCTCCTGTCAATGGTGCCAAATGCCTGGTGTCTTCATATCCTCACCAGCACTCAGTGTCATCACTAGTTATGACAAGTCTTCATCTGCATTTTCCTAATGGCTAGTGGTGTGGTATATCTTATTATGTCCCCACCACCTGAGACAAGATCTGGCCCTATCTGTCTTCAAACTCAGTATAGCTGAGGGTGGCCTTGAACTTCTGACACCCCCCACCCCCCACCCTGCTTCCATGTCTCAAGTGCTGGGGTTACAGATGTGTGCCACTGCACCTGGTTTGTGTGGTGTTAGGCAAACCCAGGGCCTTAGCACGCTAGGCAGGCACCCTCCTGACTGAGCCGCATCACGGGGCTCATTTCATGCATATTAATTAGACTTTTAAAGGTCGAGTTTAGTGACTACACTTTATAATCTGAGATCATCATCAGATAACATGGGTTATAAATACCATCTCCCAGTCTTCCTCGGCTTAGCTCTTTATCTCCTTGACAGAGTCTTTAGCAGAGGAAATGCCTCTAATTTTGATGAGGTCAAATATATTTTTTCATATTTTCCCCTTTCTTTTCTTGGATTTCCTGTCTAAAGAATTTTCCTTCAAGCCCTAGGTCCTAAAGATTTTCTCTTTTACATTCTTCTGAAATTGCTATAGTTTTGTTTTACATTTGACTTTTGTACACACTGGTTTTGTGTCAACTTGACACAAGCTAGAGTCATCAGAAAGGAAGGAGCCTCAGTTGAGGAAATGTCTCCATGAGCTCCAGCTATAAGGTGTTTTCTCAATTAGTGATCAATGGGGAGGGCCCAGCCCATGGTGGGTGGTGCCATCCCTGGGCAGGTGGTCCTGGGTTCTATAAGAAAGCAGGCTAGCCGGGCGGCGGTGGTGGCGCACGCCTTTAATCCCAGCACTCGGGAGGCAGAGCCAGGCGGATCTCTGTGAGTTCGAGGCCAGCCTGGACTACCAAGTGAGTTCCTGGAAAGGCGCAAAGCTACACAGAGAAACCCTGTCTCGAAAAAGAAAAAAAAAAAAAAAAAAAAAAGAAAGCAGGCTAAGCAAGCCCTGTGAAACAAGCCAGTAAGCAGCACCCCTCCATGGCCTCTGCATCAGCTTCTACCTCCAGGATCCTGCCCTGCTTGAGTTCCTGTCCTGACTTCCTTTGATAATGGGTGATGAACAGCTGTATGGAAGTGTAAGCAGAATGAACCCTTTCCTCCCCAACTTTCTTTTTGGTCATAGTGTTTTGTCGCAGCAATAGAAACCCTCACTAAGACAACTTTATAATTACACTTGAATAGATTTTTGGAAAAATATTGCTGCCTGGGGGAACCAGCCTCCAGCAGCACAGGGTTCAAAGGGAAATCCACAGATTCGGCACGTACTAGACTTTTTTATCTGAGGGGGTTAGGGAAAAGGACACTCACACTCTCTCTTGATGGTTTCCTTCTTTATTTTTCTGTGTTCTTTATTCTGTGTTTTATATTCTTTTTTCTTATCTCTATCCAGAAATGTCCCTTCTGTCTCTCTTGATGTTTTCCTTCTCCTTCTAACTCTCTTGATGTTCTCCTCCTAATTCTCTGATGCACTCTAAAACCTGTGAACACATCTCCTAACACTAAGATTAAAAGAATTTAAACTAGCTGGCCTACTGGGACTCAATTGTTTTTCTTAATCATTAACCTAAGTCACAGTCTATACAGCTCCTTCATGTGTTCTAGCTGTGTGACACTTCCTTGTTTTATTTTTTTATCATCAAAACTCTATTTAAACTAACATTATTATTAATAATTAGACAGTACAGCTTAGGAAGAAATCATCTTCATAATAATCTACAGGTAAAAATACCCAGTAGAACGGGATGTTTCCATGAGATAAGCACATTACAGTACAGGCAGTAGGGATCTCCACACCCCCATTCACACCATGCCAGATCCCAGAGAAAGAGCGGCAGCAAACAGGTAAAGGCACAGCAGAAGCAAAAGACATTCTGCAGTCCGTGGTCTCGGGACCTTGCCTATCCGAGATTCACCCATCAGGGGGTTTCCTCCTGGTGGGCTGACACCTGAACTTCAATTGCCACCTGCTGCTCCTCTGACACGGCCACCAGCAGAGAAGGTTCCTACGTCATAGTTCCTATTTTTCCCCTGGGCATCCATTGCTGCAGTGAATCTTGTTGAGATAGCCCCATATCCCAACTGATCTTGAGCTCTGCCACAAAGCAATTGTCCTCTCCATGGTAAGGTTCTCTCTGGAGTTCCTAGTTGGCTGTTGACTGAGGTGTCCAGTACCTGCTGCCTTGGGTACTGTGGCAAGAGAAACCTTGATGTGTCTGTGCAGTTCCTCACATTCTGTTCTTTTTGTTGGAATCGGTTTCACTATTCACATCCCATTGCCTTTCTACCTTAAGCTAGATCATTCCACCTGCATCACCAAAACAGCTTGGAGGATGTTGATAGAAATGTGCTGTGTCTGTGCACTGGCCTGAGGAGTCAACAGCTTTGCTAGCTCTTCCAGGGTGTGCATACTGGAAAGCTATTTGCTTAGGTCTTTGTTGATGTTTATCAGGATTTTTGTCACACAATTTCTGCACATGTCTTGTTAGATTCATACATATCTCATTTCTCCTGCTCCCCCCCATTTTTTTTTTTTTTGTTAGAGTGTAGATAAACACAGTTGTGTCTTGCTCAGACTGACTTCCAGCTCTTGGGTTCAAGTTATCCTCTTGCCTCAGCCTTATTGGTAGCTAAGACTACAGATGCATGGTGCCATGCCCAGCACAGTTGATTTCTATATGCTGGCATTGAATTCTAGGTCTTTGAATGTTTGTATGTATTTACTTATAAGTAGCAATTTGTTTTTAGATTTCTGTGGATATTCTAGTAGACCATCATGCCATTAATCAACAGGAGTAATTATATCTCCTTTCTGTCCTGTGTGCCTTTTTCTATTTTCTTGCCTCACTGTCCTGTGCCTGAGACTGGACATCCTTCTCTTCTGTCTCCCAGGAGAAATCATTTGTTAATTTTTATTCTTGGTTCCAGACAAAGTCAAAACTAGCCTTTCATTTCCCATGGCTCATTACTTGCTGTGAAATGTCTTTGTTTTAAGTGGATCTTTTCTTGACATTCATTTCCTTTGGAAAATAAAGGGACTCCTTCCTGAGCCTGGCTTCCTTTCCCTTTCCTCTCGTGTTTTGGGGTATGGATTTTGACGCCCTCTAGTGGCATCATCGAGCTCCATTCCCGCGCAGCCTCTGCCAAGTGTGTTTGTGTGTGGAACCCAGGGACTGTTCCATCCTCTTATTCATCCCTTCCTAGAACCCAGAGACCCTGGAGGCTTGGGACCCAGGTGCCTGGCTGACCACCCTCCCCCGCTTGTGTTTGCAGATGGTGGTCACTAGCCCCGGGCCTGGCCAGGTGGCAGCGCCAGTCTCTGGGAACAACCTGGGGGTGCTGCGTGCAGAGATCAAGCCTGGCATGCGTGAGATCCACCTGTGCAAGGACGAGCGTGGCAAGACTGGACTGCGCCTGCAGGCTGTTGACAAGGTAAGCAAGATCTGTGGCGGACCCCAGGAGGACAGTGTGCCTCTCTGGTGCTAAATAGCACTTGTCACAGCCCCAGGGATACAAGCTCCCTTTCAGGACAGTTGCCCGGCAGTCTGAGATGGCGTAGAGTTTAAGGGCCTCCCCTTCCAGGGCTCAGGGAGTCTCTGTATACGGTAAGGAAGGTTCCAAGCAGGCACCATAATACCCGAGGCCTCAAGGCTGTGCCTAGTTGCAGCAGGATCCTCTTTAAGTCCCATACAAGGCTCCTTTTACTCAGAGCCCCTGTTTCCTGTACCCCAACGCCCTTGGGTCTGGCTTCCTGATGACTGTAGAGAAAGCCAGCCAGATGATGCCCTTGGGAAGGGTGATACAGGAGAATTGACTGTGATGCTGAAATCCTGATTCAGCGGACTCTGTGTGGTCTGATGTGTTTCCTCCTCCAGGAAAATAAGGGTAACCTGTGTATCCCCCTGCAGACCTTAGGTTCCATTACACTCTAAGCTCACAGGGTAGGGGGAAATGAACATCTGAAAGGAGGGGCCTGGGACAGGCAGCCAGGGGTGCTGACTCTGGAGTCTTGTTTCCCAGGGGCTCTTTGTGCAGCTGGTCCAGGCCAACACCCCTGCATCCCTCGTGGGGCTGCGCTTTGGGGACCAGATCCTGCAGATTGACGGGTGTGACTGTGCTGGGTGGAGCACATACAAAGCTCACAAAGCACTGAAGAAGGCATCCGCGGAGAAGATTGTCATGATTGTTCGGGACAGGTCAGTAGCCAGGTCCCAGCATCCTCCCTGCTTGGCCCCAGCCACACCCGCAAGCCCAGCTTACCATCACTCTCTACCAGGCCGTTCCAGCGGACTGTCACTATGCACAAGGACAGCTCAGGCCAAGTTGGATTTTTCATCAAGAAGGGGAAGATTGTATCCGTGGTAAAGGGAAGCTCCGCAGCCCGTAATGGACTTCTCACCAACCACTACGTGTGTGAGGTGAACGGACAGAACGTCATTGGGCTAAAGGTAGGCAGTGGTGTAGCTCTGCCAGGAAATGCGGGCACTGTGGAGATGGTGGGGGTGGGATGGCTCCTGTCTGCATAGGCTGTAGAACCTGCCAGAGCCTCAACACCCCCATCCTAAGGTAGACGGGGACTTCAGTATGACTGTGTTTGTGGAGCTCTGAGCAGTTGTCAATCAGGAATGAGTAAGTGCCCAGTAAGAATTCGCTAACATGCAAGATGTGCCAGAGGGGTATCATAATGTGCGAGGACACGGGATCCCCAGATGGCTGCTGGCCAGAGGATACCTCCTCCTCTGTGTGGCGCTTCTCTTTGGATGCTAATCACGTACAGTAATGAGGCTCCCTTTAGAAAACGTGACTTGGAAATCCATTGCTGGCCTTGGCTTATTTAGGGAGGGTAGGTAAATCCTCTATTTACAAACCAAGAAGGTACAGAGTGGCTTTGGACCCATGCTGTAGATGTGGGAAGAGGGGTGTCTTCTGGGAATGGGCAGTAAGGAGCTGTGGTTTGAGACTTGAACAAATGAGAGCAACTCAGCCCTGACTCATGCTGCTACTATGGGAGTGTGCCTCTCCACCCACCGGTGCTCATGGGGCAAGTGGTGGCATCTCACTCCACAGTGGGCATTGTAGACAAATTTCTAAGTGGTCTTATTAAATAAAAAACACGGAGCCAAATATAGGAGTGAAAGCCTTACAGATCGGAGAAGCCACCAGCCAACCTTAACTCACCAACTCTGCAGCTTCCAAATGTGTGTTACTTCCTGTCTACCCACACCTTTATTGCCTTGCTGTTCTGCCCTCTCATTGGCTACCTCACTGCCTGTCTATACAGACCTCCAGGTCTCTATGGTTTTTTCTAATAGTGGCTGACCTTTATCCTCTGATCCTCAGATAAATTTTATTGGGGGACACAGATAAATGATCACCACAGGGCATAAGCCACTCCAGTCACGTGTCTGCTTCCTTGTCCCTGGCAGTCTCCCTTCACCTTCTGGGGAGGCGTATTCTGGTGGCTGTACTGCTGTGATCAGGAAGTTTCTTCCCGTGTCTGAGATCCCTCCTGGTGAATCCTCTCCCATTTCTCTGTGGTCAAGCATACCGGGCAAAAGGCCACCACAGTCTGTGCTTGAAAAGCTGAGTGCAGTAATGCCACTCCTGAGCAGCTAGGGATTGCTTCTTTGAAAAGACGACAGTCCATTCCTAACTCTAAGAGCAGCCATGCTTGGATGTGGTTCACATAGCTGCACCGATGGCCCATGGCGTCACTGACCTTACAGGTTACTCCACCTAGCTATGGTACCATGAGACCCTCAGGTACTCGGTCTGTGCTCTTGAGCAGTGCCTAGTAGTCACCCTTTCTGAAGTCAGGTATCTTTCAAAGTTTGCGGCCATCACTAGTCCTATGGGGCATCTCTTCTCCCATTTATTCTGGAACAACTAAGAAAGCACAGAACCAGATTCTGTACATATGCAAAATGATGGTCACCAGGAGCTGAGCAGGGACCAGAGGCCCTTTCTCACAACGGTAGTCATTCGACTGGTGGACACCGTCTGCATGGAGCTTGTCTGTTCTCTTCAGGATCTAAGCAGTTTCTACAAGCTTTTCTTACTAGTCAGTGAGGTGTGGGAGAGGACCCATGTGGCTGGCTCAGGCTGGTGAGCCAGCAGGAGTCTGAGGACCCAGGTGGACCCAGTGTCCCCCACAGGAGCCTAAGTGTAACTGGAGCCAGTGAAGTTGGCAGAGACAGGAGAATCACATTTGTGGGGCAGTGCTGTAAGGCCCACATGGCTGGCCTTCAAGAATGGGAGGCCAGTGCCATGCTCCCGTGACCCTGCCAATCTCAAATGAGAGCAACAATACCCCACTTGAGATGTCCAGGGTCCCAGCAGCCAGCCGCTGCGGGCAGGTGTGAGGTGTAGTTGGTGTCCTCTAGCAACAGCCACGCTGAGCCACCAGTCAGGTGGCAGTGCTATTCCTGTTCCTCAAGATGACCAGTCACTCTCCTCCTCTTTAGGACAAAAAGATTACGGAGATTCTGACCACAGCCGGAAATGTCGTCACACTGACTATCATCCCCACTGTGATCTACGAGCATATGGTCAAAAAGTAAGGCTGTTAACCCGACCCCTGCACTCTGCTTCCTGTCCACCTCCTGCGCCCTGGCAGCCTCAGTGCTGACCCAGAGCACGGGTCTGGTCTGTTCTATCTTCGACTTTTCTCCAGTTCATGGTGGCCAGTGGCGTCTCATGACTTGAAGTCCTTAGAAGTGGGGGCTGAACGCAGCCCCTGTCGGGTGCGCAGACTGGGGTGGGACGAAGGACCAACAGGGACCAGTTTCAGCCACCGTCACTGTTGCCCTCTCTAGGTTGTCCCCACTGCTGCTTCACCACACCATGGACCACTCCATTCCAGACATCTGAAGTCACGGGCAGCCCAGGCCTCCCGCCATCCTGCAGCAGATGGCAGTCCTCAGATGACAGGTTGCAGCTGGCTTGCTGCCTGGGTCTGGGTACTGCAGGGGTCATGTCCCAGGTGGACGCATATTGGATGAGTCTGTCATTGCTGTTTCCAGGCCTCCTTGGATCCTGACTCCTCGCTATGCTGAGGTACAGGAGGGACTGAGGTTCTCTGTACCCTAGCTGCTGGGCACTTAGGCAGAATGGCAGAATGTCACCGAAGGCAGCTGGGTCCCTCTGCAGACTTTCGCCTCTTCTAGAAAGTCAGCCACCTGACTTGACAGAGGAATTCCTCGTGTGTTCTTTGCCTTCACTGATCTTTGTCACAGATTGTATATAGATTACTTGTGTAACCCTTTACTGTCTTTTGAATAAAGAGTGGATTTTAAACACAGCCCCTTCTATGAAAGTTCCTGGAAATTCCAGAATCACTGGACCCATGACATGCCAGGGCTGCTTTTGCTTTTGGACAGAGACCAGGCCAGGGCCTTATCTGTGTGCCTCTGAGAGCAGTGGTCTGTCTGTGTATCGTGGGCTGCTTGCCAGTCTGTCATAGGAATATTGGCACTGAGGGTCATGTGGCTGTGGGATGGCAGGGATAGGAGAGGAGACTCCGCACTGGCTTTGGGACCCCGGCTTGAGTGGTCGTGGCCATTTTTGTAGCTACAGAATGGGCCGAAGAAGCCATTTCAGGACTACTGGGAAGAACTGGAATAGTCTCCCCGTGTTAGGCAGGATGTGACTGGGATCCAAGTGGGGATTCTAGATCCCGTACCTGATCCCAGATGGGCAGAGAAGCCCCAGGCCTACACAGCAGGGCCTGGTGGGGCTGAGCCAGCCAGTGGCTGGTTCCATCTGTGTTGGGTGCCATGGTGAGTTCTCACCTACCCCAGCACACTTAGAGAAATGACACGGTACAAAGACGCCAGGCCGAGGGGCTGCGTGTGTGTTCATGCTTTAATTCAGAGCTGTCTGCTACAGGCACAACTCTGTCCGAACAAAAAGACAAAGGAGACCGAGAGTCAAGACCCCTCCCCCCGGCCCCCGTCCTGTGTCCCCTGAAGTTTCTGTCAAGGGAATAGCCTGATGTGAGAGTGCACGGTGGTCTACTCATGTCGTCACCTAGTTCAGAGGGGCTGTGAGTGCCCTGGGTGGGGGCCCTCAACAGCCTCTGGCCCTCGAGCCTGGGATCTGCTGTCCGATGCCTGTGCAGGTGGGAAGGGGTCTCAGTGAAAAGCTCTGTATGCTACCTGCTTGAAGACATTGGTTGTGAACTCTGCTCAAGGCTGCCTCTGTCCTCACTGAGCCCTGACAGAGGGCTCCAGAACTAAGGAGCTACTCCTTCAAGCCACTGCGCTCCAAGGGTTCAGTAGCTATAGAAGGCAGTTCGCGGGGACACTTCCTCAAGACCTTGTTAGCTCTGACTGGAGGCGGGGAAAGGAGCACCCTAAACATTTCTGCTCCAGGAGCCAAGGGCAAGAGGGCAAATTGCAGCCTATGGGGGCTGGCCAACTGGGAGGAAAGGGGGAGCTTTGGGGATGAGCATCAAAGGGGGAGCCTGGCCCAGTCCCACCTTGCTCTCAGCCGCCTCCTCCAGATCTGGAACCAGCAGGCTGCTGAAGTGTCGACGTCCAAGCCCACTTCCTGGGATTGCGCAGGCATCGCAACCCCTCTGCACGGGTATGGGACTCTGGGCTTATATACACTTAGGAGCAGGACCTGTACCCCAGCCTGCAGGGATCCAGGGTCATCCAAGGGCTGGGTAATGACCTGCTCACTCCACTGGCAAGGAGCAGAGCCCTTCTGATAGGCAGAACTCACAAAAGAGGACCCCTGCTGTAGGCGAGGCAGGGCTAGGGTCAGAGCAGGAGCAGGGTGAATGGTCAGCTTCACTTACTGCCTCTACAGACCTGGACGCTTTATAATGGCTTCTCCAGCAGCAGGAGCAGAGCGGACCACAGTCCTAGCCCTGCCCAAGTCCACCAAAACACGAGACACGACAAGAAGGCCCAGACAGCAAGACATGGAACAGAGGGGCTGCGAAGTTGGACTAAATGCCAATGGTGAAAAATATATGGATTTTATGTTGTCAAATATAGTTCATACATTTATTTTCTCAGCAGAGCTTCGACTGTTGCTAAGGAGACATATGGAGCTCCATGAGTGCACGGCGCAGGAGGCTGGGTCCGTGGCCAATCCTGGCTTCACTTTGGATCAGTTTTATCCCCTGTCTCTCCATGGCACCACCCCAGTGTCCTATGGGGCAGCCCCAGCGAGGCCTCAGGCATTTGGGTTTGGTTCAGCTGGGGTAGGGGTGCTCCACCAAGGATGGCCGGTCTGAGGCCCCAGCCAAGGTGGGGGAGTTTTGGAGGCACAAAGCGCGTGGCAGAGGGCTCTTGCCCTGATGGCTAGGCTGGTTGCCCACTCCCAGTGCATGCAGGTGCCCTTGGGGAGGGCACAGAGTGGAGGGGCAGAACTCAGGAGTCAAGTAGTGGCTGCCGGGGCATCGGTGAGGGCAAGCAACCTTAGCAGAGAACCAGAGAGGCTCCTATGCCAGAGAGTGAGATGCAGGCTTCTACCAACTCCCTGGGTGTGGGCCAGTCAGGTAGGTATGACCTCTCTGGGAAGAGGGAGGTGAGGATCAGGGCATCTTCCCAGGCTGACTGGACCAGGAGCAGCCCAGGCAGGCTCCCACCGCCTGGCCATGCCCCTGATTAGGAAGCACATTCAGGGGACCCTGCTTTGGCATGGATAGGCAGATACTGTGGCTTCAGAACCCTATCTGGAGATTCCTCCAGATGGCCACCTTCCTCTGGAGACAGCTGGGTCAGAGATTCAGAAGTCCTCATCCCAGAGAGCAAGCAGCCTGGGGGTTCTGGGATGGGCAGGAAACCAAGACCCTAAGGGAACCAAGAGCAAACATAGGCAGGGTCTGAGGACGAAGGGCCTGGGGCAAGTGGCCTCTGACCTTCCCAACTGGCTGAGGCACCTCTAGGCTACAGATGAGATAGACTCATCTCAGAAGGCAAAGGGTTCCCAGAGCTGCTGGCCTTGCCTTCTCTGTACTGGCGCTCCCTCCCAACCCCATGATTAGTGTGTCAGGAGTAGTGATGGGCACTGGACAGCTCATGAAGATCTAACACACCCAGAAGCCAAAAGGAAAACAGACTGTGGGGGAGGCCTGGAGGACAGACAGACAGACACAGAACCTACCCTGCCCTCTGCCCCTCCTGCCTGAGCTGGTCATGCCAGCTGGATCACACTTTGCATCCCAGGGCAAGGGAGGAGGAGAGGCTGGAGCTTCAGTGGGACCCGGGCAGCCAGACCCTGCTTGGAGTGCTTCTCTGCATTTGGGGTCCTGGCTGCCTCCATTTGAGGAGGTAATACTGGTCCAGGAGCCTGAGGAGGGCACACGGGGTGGCGTGGGCGAGAAGACATGGAGGTGGACTGGGTGCTGGAAAGGATGCAAGGAAAAGGAAGATCCCCAGATCAACACAGCCCGGAGACTCTCTGAGCAGGGCCTGCCTTGTCTGAAGTCCGGGCGGCCAGAGGGGCCAGAGGGGAGCTCTTCCCAGTTTCTCCCTCTTCAACTGGCCACCTTTTCTCTTGAAGCTTTGGGATGCCTTTCTGAATCCCTGACACTATTAACATCTGGCGGGGGGGGGGGGGGGGGGGGCACTATTCCAGACCTGAAAGTAAATAAGAGGATGCCCATGGGGATCTGAGGGGGGCAGCAAGTGGCATCCTACAATCAGTGGTCAGGCTGCCAAAAGTGGAGAGCTGGCAGCCTCCTCAGAGCTGGGAGCCGCCGGCTGAGCTGGAGCTCGGCTGGCTCAGCGAGCGGCAGCTGATCCTACGGATGGAGTGCAAGGCCACTGTGCAGCAGCCCCGCAGCAGGGAGCTGATGTTGTAAATGGGCTGGCCCTGGCGCCGCTGGGAGCGGCAGAGCCAGGCCACTGTCGGCACAGCTGGCACTACCACAGCCAGCAGATCCACAATGTAGTGGCGGCTCCAGTAACTCTTGGGCTCCTTTTCGGTGGCAGCTGCCTCCTCCTCCTCTTCCACAGGACACACCACACTCACTGGCAGTCCCGGGTTGGAGTTGGCCGCAGGCCGGTGTGTAGCCGGCCCACAGGTGATGGGCTCTGGGGCCTCAGGTTCATCACCCACTGTCACCACCACTGCCGAGTTGGGGTCTCTGGGCCCCGAGGGGTAGGGATCCAGCTCTGAGTGCCTGTCCTTGGGGACTGTCCCACACACCTGAGCCTGGCCTACTTTCTCCAGGATGGTGTCCAGGTCAGGCTGGTACTGCACGAAGTCTGTCTGGATGGCCCGCTCCTGCATGCAGCTGGCTTGCACGCCAGCCTCCATGCCGCACAGCAGCTTCTCGTAGGTGTTGCTGGCAGGGAAGCGGGGGCCCAGATTGAAGGAGCTGTGCAGTGAGGCTTCCTCGAGGCCACAGTCCACTCCTGATGACAGCAGGCTACTGGCCTCCAGGGCGTCCGTCCGACTCAGTGTGTCGTCAGCAGCCACGAATCCACTGTCGGCTCCATCCTCAGCAGAGGCGCTGGAGGGATCCCCTGGCTGGCGGTCGCCACAGACAGCTGGGTCACTCAGCTTGGTGTAGGTGGAGCTGCGGGTGAGGGAGCGTGCAGGGGACCCGCCAGCCGACTCCCCAGTTCCTTCCTCCTTGGCTACTCCATTCTGGGCTACCTCCATGCTGTGCAGCAGCGTCTCCAGCTTCTTGTTCTGGATATTGATGTCCACGAAGTACTTCTGCAGCCCCTTGTCCTTGTCAATCAGGTTGTTCTTGACAGTGTCGATGACCTGCTTCAGCTGCCGGATCTCCTTGCGGGCCTCCTTCAGAGCCAGCTGGGCTTCCACTCGGTGACACTCCTCCTCAATCCAGTCCTCCTGCATGCGGGACAGCTGAGTCTTCAGGTCATCAATCTCCGTGTCCCTGTGAGCAAAGGAGACACACTTGCTCTGCGGCCTGTCCTCCCACCCGTCAGTGCTGCTGTGGAGGGGCCAGGGGATGTCACCAAACACAGATGGCCCCAGAGCAGGGTGGCTCGACGCTAGAGCTGACAGTAGGAGGATCCCCCCACAGGGAGGAGGAAGGGGGTGGAGCCAGGGGCCAAGCCAGGAGAGGCTTCCTTGAGAGGGAGAAGAAATGGCAGCCGGAGCCACATCCCCATCTCACCGCTGAGCCACGCCCTTCACGTCATCACCTCCAGAAGACACTACCCAGATCCTTAATTGATGAGCCCACTGCTATAATAATGTAATAAACTCCTGCCGGGCGGTGGTGGCGCACGCCTTTAATCCCAGCACTCGGGAGGCAGAGCCAGGCGGATCTCTGTGAGTTCCAGGCCAGCCTGGGCTACAGAGTGA